GGATGAGTAGAAGATAAAGTATGTGCGATTCTCAGTGATCTTCTCCTCCTGGTTCTCTCACTACAACAAATGTGCTAAATAATGGAGGTTATTTTTGTGTTTAATGGGGGTTTTTACCCTCCGCGAAATAAATTGCAGAGGTTTTCAAAAACCTTCGCAGTTACATTCACCACAAGAAATTAGCGGGGTTTTTAAAAACCTACGGTATCGATAGTATTTTGCGGAGCTTTTTTTTTGTGGAGGTTTTGACCCCAGTGTAGAACAGGAAAAGCATGTAACCAAATACTGAAATTAATCCCAGATTGTCCTGTGAATCATGAAAGAACAATTCTTTACACCTCTCAGCCCATTTTTCAACCTGCTCAAAACACCCATCATGTATTATTAGTCAATATTCAATCTACACCAAAACCAAACCGAAATCATCAAATTCGAAAGTTTGGAACACAAATTAATTACAATCATGCCTAAGATAAAAATACAAAAAATCAATTCAAAGCACAACTTTTCAATCTACACCAAAACCAAACTGAAATCCACGCCAGCGGCTCCGGCAAGTCCACGCTCATCGACGCACTCGCGGGGCGCATCTCCAAAGACAGCCAGAAAGGGTCCCTCACGCTGAACGGCGACGCTCTCGAATCCAGCCTCCTCAAAGTCATCACCATGCTCACTGTCGAAGAAACCCTCACCTTCGCCGTCGAGTTCCACCTCTCCCGCTCCCTCTCCAAGTCCAAGAAAAAAGCCCGCGTCCACGCCCTCATCGACCAGCTTGGCCTCCGCTTCGCTGCCTCCACCGTCATCGGCGACGAAGGCCACCGCAGCGTCTCTGCCAGCGAACGGCGCCGCGTCTCCATCGGCATCGACATCATCCACGACCCCATCGTCCTCTTCCTGGACGAACCTACCTCCGAACTCGACTCCACCAGCGCCTTCATAGTGGTAAAGGTCCTCCAGAGAATCGCTCAGAGCGGAAGCATCTTAAGCCTCTTGGACCGCTTGCTCTTCCTCTCCCACGGCAACACTGTCTTCAGCGGTTCTCTAGCGATGAAAGGGTTTTGGGTGTGGTTGGAGGTTGACGGCGTTGAAAGGGAAGTGTGCCTTTTAGGGTTTAGAATGGAAGATTTTAATAATTAAAAGTAGAAATTAAAATAATATTTTAATTAGAGGAGGTTATAAACCTCTACAAATTAAACAAAAAAATGGCAGATTTTAATAATTTAAGGAGGGTTTTAAAACCTCCGCAAAATAACCTCCACTATTTATCATTTTTTTTGTAGTGTCTTGAGTCTTCAGGACACGTAGAAAAGAAATGAGAGACTAGAGTCGGGAGAAATAAGAAGCGTGAAAAGTAACTCATAACAACTCCTTTCTTAAAAATAATAATAATAATATTTAGCAAAAGACCACTACGTCTCTCTTTTCCTTCTCATAAAATAATTAAAATAATTAAACTCCTTCCCTTCTCATAAAATAATTAAACATATTTCATCTTTTTAATAAATAACATAAACATAATTCTTGATAAAAACATATTTTTCATAAAAATAGTCTTATAGCAAATAATCCAAATATTAATTAAAAATTATTTTTATATTAAAATAGAATTACATAAAATAAATAAATAATATAAAATATATTTCTCCCTTTTAGTAAAACTAACATACGTTTACATAAAAATAGAACTTATATCTACTAACATAATAATATTAAAAATCCTTCTAATATATAAACACATTAAAATATTAAAAGAAATACAAACGTATTATTAACAAAATACATTTCATAAAAGTTATCTATATATCACTAATAAAAATAATCATTATAAATCATGTCACATAAATAAAATATAGCTCATATAAAATAGATTAATAATATAAAATATATTTCTCTCTTTTAGTAAAAATAATATAATTTTTATATCAAAATAAAGTTCATATCAAATAGCTAAATAATATTAAAAATCCTTCTAATAAATACATTAAAACATTAAAATAAATATTAACATATTATTAATATAATTTTATGAAAATTAAGGTGTTACAAGTTGAGCAACTCTTGATTGGCCACAAGAGACTGTTAGAAAAGAATGGCTCAATCCAAGAGGGGGGTGAATTGGATTCTATGACACTAAAAAAAAATTTCAGAGTTCTAAGGATCTTTATTTCAATTTTAAACTTTTCTAATATGAATTCTCAAAGAAGTTCCTTGAAAGACTTGCCAATGGGAATGAGTCCTATATGCTTTCTTGATTAATCTTGATTAAGTTCAATATTAAGAACAACTAACACGCAATACTTTGATTTAGTTTAAAGCAATGTTATGCATACAAACATATTAGTCAAGATCAGCCACTTTAACACTTAACCAAGATTTTGCTCAATGTAAAAGATAAGGGTGAGAGAAGAATGCACAAGTATTTTATCCTGATTCAGCCAGTCCACATGTGACCTACATCTAGTCCTCAATCATAACCTGATCAAGATTTGTTCCACTATCTCAATGAAGAAGTTTTACAAGCATACCACACATGCATATACTCCTACATTCAAGATAACCACTTTCTTGCCCCCAAGAAAGCACTTCTTGTAGAAACCCACTACAAGAATTCCTTACCACTTGAGACACCTACTCAAGATTTCCCTTACACTTTACACA